AAGGAGGTATGAGCCAGTCAATGTTAAGGCAAGAAATACAACCATTAAGAAAGGACATCCACTCCCAGAACATTTAACTGACCTTTATAAGAAGAGCATAGTCATACACCTGAAAAAAACTATTTTTTCAAAATTCTTTATTAGAAATGGCAGAAACACTGCCCTATGAGTGACTATTTGTGCTATTAATTATTAATCATAGTATTCATACCTCATTGAAAAGAATTTAGAAAAGTGAACATTTCCTAAAAAATAATTTTTTTCTAGGAAATACTGCATGGGAAAAGTGTTTGGAATGTGCTCTTTAGTCATATACAACTCACTGCATCAAAATAATTCAATGCACAGAGCTCAAAAGTTTCATAAATTTTGCTCACATAAGCTAGTGTTTTGATATTAATAATAGGTGTTTAAGAACTCCAGTTTCTCAGTGCTATATTTAATAATTGCATCAATAAAGATATAATCAAACCCTCATGTACAGTCCTAGTGAAAGTTGTGTTCTTGTTTTGAGAAGAGTACTTTTATTTAAAATTGTGTTCTATTATAAAGAAATGGTTGTTGCACATACCACAGCTATTTTGCTAACTGTCTGAATTTTGAGTACCCAAAGTGTGAAATTTTTGTTTGTGGTGCCATTCAATAGATCGTGTTTTGGTTACAAATGTAGATACTGACATACACGTTACATCCATTATAGTAAAATAATAATACAGAAAGTTACTGGTGTGCTTGCATATCACAATTTGAAGTAAAATATTAAAACATCAATGGCAGCTATAATACCAGAATACATGTGTTGCAGAATATATGATACAAGGTATTTTGCATCACTATTAAATTTGAAGTAAATGCCAGATAATTTGTTATCACTCAAAACTTTCTCTTTTTTATATTTTTTATCTGAATACATAACTTCACTTTTGAATATATTTCCCTAATATATACTATATATATTATAAAATAGAAAGCAAATATTTTATGTTGAGTGACTGATGTTAATTTTAAAGACTTACGAGTTTGTTTGGATATCATAGACATAAACATTGTTGACTACTGGGGGTATTTTTTCATCAGTCTTTGGTTCTGTAAGACCACCTACAACCCATATCTGCCTGTCTAAACATGTAATTCCTGCTCCTACCAATGGCTGAGGCAAGTTTGTGACAAGTGTCCAAGTGTTTTCATCAGAGTTATATATTTCCATTGATGTCAATATCCTGCAAAGAAAATTGACTCATTCAAGAAGCATGATAAGGACTATAATAATGGTTTTGCACAATTTATATATCTGTTATAATAAGATATATACTACAAATACACTCCAAAGCTCCATTTTAAAAACTCCAATGTTCTATATCCAGTTTACCTGTTAAAAATTCCAAGTCCACACACCATAACAATTGGTTTTAAGACAAAATAGGAAATATTTATACACAAGTGAAGATTTTAAGTAAATATTTATTTACACTTGAGCAAGAACTTGGAGACAATTAAAAACAGAAAGATCAATTATTTAATTACAAACCGGCCCTGATCGTTTCTTCCACCAAAAACGAATAGTTTGTTCTCTGCTGCTAATACACTATGACAGGCTCTAGCATGTATCATCATCGCTTTATGCTCCCATTGGCTGGTGTGTATATTAAGTCCAAAAGTGGTTCGTGTGGCAACCATTTCACCTTTGACTCTTTCAAAAAAACTGTATCCCCCTATACAAATTTAAAGAAAATAGAAAATTCTGCAATTAACATTTAGGTTTCTAACTGTTATTTGTTTTGTTTTTCATATATAAAAAGCTTTTTGAGGAATTTTTGAACTGAAATTTGTTTTAATTTGATAAAGTTCTGGCAGGGAAAACAAAAGTATCTTACACTATATATCAAAATTTCTAAAATCAGTATGTTATTTTTTAATATATCAATAAATTATTTATAAAATTGCATATAATAGCAATGACTTATCAAATAATACCTAATAAAATATAACTTTATTCACCAATAACTTCATTTCTTAAAACAAATTACATATTATGTTGCTACTCCACAAGATAATTATCAATCTGATATATTTGTATTAATTTTTCAAGCCTAGTTTACAAGAGGTAATTTCAAATGCTAAGTTGGTTGTTACTGTATATTATACAAATTCTCAAATAGTGTTTTTAAAACTGCGATTTTCTATGTGATATTTTTAGGTATTATTATTACTTACTTTTAAGGATAGTAATAGTACTCATTCTAACTAGTGGTTTGAAAGAAATGTATTATGGAGTGAAAATGAATTCTGACCTGACTGAACTAAAGAAAGACTGGATAAGTATTTGATAAAATACAAAATCAATTAATTTAACTACATACAAACAATTCATTTCAATTAGTTAATGAATTCACTGGATTCAATAAGTTAATCAATGCAATGGAGGAGACAGTCACACTTCCTTCACTAAGCATTAAAAAGATTTGCACTAGGTGAAAATTTGGGCAAGACCGACAAGATCAACCTCGATATACTTATTTGAATAAGTTCAAGTTTCCCAGAATGCATTTGATAACCACATCACCTGGCATTTCATTGACCAAGATAGACAAGACTGTTGTCTTCAGGTATTTCTAAACCTCTACACAAACAAAGTTACCAGAGAACACATTAGTACAAATCTAAGAAATTGTACAGCACCACTTTCCATAAGAAAGTCAAAATACCAAAGGGAAAATGACCCTCAGCAGTGTGTAATTAGCACAAGAATAAGGTCGTTGCATTCCAAGTCCAGTTATCGTCAAACTATATAATCAACATGTGCACCAAACATATGTTACTCCAAAAAAAATTGATAATTTTGATGAACAAGAAATATTCAGCTTTCTAAACTAAAAGAAAAGAAACCATTGGTATGGTTTACATAACACAGGCACAACTTTTATAGAACATCATTAAAATCATTAATACACTAAGCATTAAAAGTATTATTAGAAAAAACTATTCTTATAATAGTTATATAAATTAATTCTTTGTCAATTAGACAAATTTCAATTAATTTGTCAAAATACAATGAGGTTAATATTTTTCATACCAACCTGTTACATAAATATGAGAATGCAAAAGAGCAGCAGCATGGTAAGTACGAGGTTCTGGCATGAGACCACAATACTCCCAAACATCTGTAGGCAGATGATAACGAAAAATTGCTCCTCCTGACGATTGAAGTAGAAAACAAAATTAGATAGATACACACACAACCAGCTCAAAAACAGGAAGAACCTTTTAATAAAATGTTTCTTATTATAAAAGTATTGCTATTTACAGAAGTTTCTTCAATAACACTTAAGCCTAAAGTGGAGGGCTGTTATATCATGGTATATCATGTTTAGATTGAGTAATTTTTCTTTCATAACTTAAAAAGACTTTTGTCACAGTTTGGAAGATATTCTTATACACTGACTTTCAGAAGTTATAATTACTCATACAATTCAGAATATTCAAAATTGAGTGTTTTAAATGACATGCAGCAAGAACTACTGAACACAAAGCAGATGATATCTTTCAATACCACCATATGTATCATCATCTGCTTTCTTTGTAAAGGTTAGAGAAATTAAGCTGTCAAGTTTATTAATTACAAAACTATATTTAAACATACTTAATTTATCCACAATTTCAGAAACATCCATATTTCCATATATATATACCAATAGATGTCATTAAGAATGGCATTTTTTTCATGTATCTCATTATTGCATCGCCTTTTATGAAATATTTTAAGATTTATTTATTAGTAGTATTTGTTCTAATTAATGTACAAATATTTCTGATGTCATTATGGAAATAAAGATAAAAGTGGAAAAGCAGCTTCATTTGACTGGACATGGGGAATAGAAATAAGTTGTTGTTTTTTCAACTTAACACATAAAGCTATTAATAGATTAATTTATTAATTTGTAAATTTATAATTTATTGCATACATACTAAATGAATATGACACTGAGACTGCTTAACATTAAGTGTACTTTCAACATACCTCAACAGTGTAAATTTGGACATCTGAAGCTATATTTCTATGCTTTTTGATAATAAGACTGGCTAATGTGATAATGCATAGAATCTTCCTTATAAGGCACTTTCCTTAATATTTGTGTTTTATTAGCTAAAGCCTACAACCTTTTGCTGTGCTTTCATTCAAAATATATTCTAATGCTTTATGTGTGTGACTAAAACTACAAAAGAAACATCCTTACTATGTTCTCAATTTAAATTCTTGAGTATCAAATTTGCATAGAATTAAAACAATTCCTCAACTTACACTTTTATTTCATCTGAACATCTCCATATTTTACTCTTAATTCCATGAGAGACAGATATAAAGTATCTTACCAACTAGTTAAGTCAGAAAACATATTTACAATTTATTCTGTGCACTCTGAAAACACTGACATAGCATTGCTTTCTCCAGAACATCTCAAATAAGTCTGGTTGGTGAGAGATAAAGTTAATGTCATAATATTTCACATTTAAAGTAATTTAATCTGAGCATCCTTTCTTAATCATCTATATGTCAAATGATATTTTTTTGTCTACTTAGTTTTTAACTTTTATCTACCATTCTTTGACTCAGATTCCCAATATTTATTAAGTCAGGTAATGACTTAGAATGTTCTGAAATGTTAATGATATCCACTACTAAATTTTACATACTAACATTTTGCATTATTAGACATTCTCTTTATTAGATATACACGACTGTTCATTTTAAGTTTAATACAAGAGTATTATTTAGCTTATATTGCGTGAGTATCAAAGCAAGATATTTTATATGCAAGAGTTATGGCAACTTTGCTTACATAACTCTTTATGAATCATTTGTTGAGTAGTTCAATTGTTGTGAACTGACGTCATGTTACTCGAACCTTCTGAATTTTTGGTCGTTGCTTTAGGTGAGTATTGTTACATCATAAGATACTGTAGTTTGTAGAAAGTGTAGGCCTCAGTCAGGTAATATACATATATATATTATATATATATATATATATAGGAGACCAAGTTAGTACAAGTAAGTATGTTAGTGAAAGTGAAAGTAAAAGTGAAGTTAGACTGCATGGGAGAAAGCTGTAACAGGCAATTTCTAAATTGAGTTTCACAACTTGCACTGTAATAACAGAGACAGAGATGAATAATTTGTCTTGTCAAAGGGTGTTTTAAAGTAACTGAACCGACTGAGTGGACTTTGACAAAAAAAGAGACAATTATTTAAAGCTCTAGGTACAACTGTGATAACCAATAGCATAACGAATTTTTTGTACATGAGTTTGACTTATTTTTAATATATTATTTTAAAACAAGTGGATTGTGTGCTATCCATTTATTGTTGAAATTTATCACCAACAAGCCACAGACACCTACTGTAAAGAATCCTGCCCACACACATAAGTAAAAACCTGATACTCTTTGTCCCATGATATTTCTGGCAAAAAAATTTACTCTTTAGTTTGTGATGAAGCACCTTTTAAAACTTTTGAATTCTTTTTTAGCCTTTGTTTCAATGTCAGCTATACTTCACTGACAAATAAGTAAAATAATTACAAGAACAGGAGTTTCTTGAGAAATATATGCAGAGTTCAAATAATTTAAACTTGATCAAAAAACAGACTAGACACAGTTATTTCACTTTAAACAAGGAAAAAACTTTATTTATCAAAACACAAACAACAACATGATATGTGCCTATTTCAGTATGGTTGACCTTGTGGTTTTTCAACACAAGCATACTGGCAAAACATAATTATATTGGATTATGCCATAACAAGATTTGCTCAAAATGGAAACAATAACAATTCTGACTAAGAACTAGTTCTGTGGAAAAAATAGTTTTACTTGGAATAATATTAAGTTCAAGCTCTTCCAGAATTAAAATAATGCCATATCACCCATTTCAAGAGACTTATCTCATTATTTAAAAAAATGAAAGCAGAGCTTTCCGTGTATCTATCCTTGTATATGTCTAATACACCATACACTGTGAAAAAGTAATTAAGAATACCCTGACCATGACTGACTGCCTCAAAAGCAAGATTAACGTCATTCACAGATGAGTACATCTTATCCATGCAGAGCACTTTACTAAGTACAGGCAA